AAGGTTTTTGTTAGCTTCGTATCTTCAAAATATGGATTGGGATTGAAGTTCTGGAGAAAAGACAAGAGACAAGAACTTTTCTTAAAGAGATAATGAAAGCTAAAATAATATTAGAAATTTCTACATCAATAAATGTCCACGAATGGCAGAAAAGGCACACTCACAAACGTAATAGTGTAACCCGATTTCACATCTTTGGAGTCTTCCACTTCCAGGGAACTCAAGTACTTGAAAATCTAACATGAGAAAAAGGGAATAGATTAACTTTGTCGGCAAACAGACAAAAGCTCAGATTTAGTAATAACCAACTATAGAGGAACTTAAATAGTAACTGCAAATTATAATGACCGGATATATGTTATGATAACAAAGAGAAGATCATACTAAATCTATGACATACTTAAATTTTAGATAAAGTGAAGGAAATGGATGAAACCTTTTGGTCTTCCTCGGTCAAAAGTTCACCGAAGGCAGGATGACTCAAAAACTGCAAGGAAGAGGGTAAATGTCATTTTTCTTTCTTCTTTTCCANCTTCTCTTGTCGTAGACAGGCCTGCGTATCTCATTGTACTTTTGTTCTACTTCCAAAACCTTTTCACTTGCTTCTTCATTGATCTGCAAACATAAAGAAAATAAACCCAACATAAAATTATGACATCTCCGTATTTTTATTTTACGTTTCTACTTAAGACAAAATTCACAAAATTCACTTTTTAATTATGACAGACCTAAACATATAAGGACAAACGAAGATGCAAATACGACAAATTTGAATAATTCCCACATATAGTCATGATGAATATTTAGAATTCTCTGAATTTGGTCCATATTTCCTCCCAAGGTGCAAAATTATTTTCTAAACAGCTTGGGTTGGGAAAAGATAGAACTTAGTAATTGGTTAAATAAATTACTATGAAATAAAATTAACAACTTTCAATTGTATTTCTCGCAATTTACCAGCACAAAAAAATAAACCAAATAAGAAGATGTAAGTGTTTTGCTTGGTTTCGACAAAAAGTGATTAAGCACCTGTTTGACAACCATTACTCAAAAACTATTTCTTCTACACGCTCATTTTCAACAATATATTCATAAAATAAAATATTCTGCTCGTAAACACAAAACTTTTACTTATTTTTTGACCACACATTCTATAAAAATTCACTATACAAAACTTTGTTTTTACTAAATAATGGCCATCAAACAGGGCCTAAATATACTTCTTTATTCTTTAGAAAATCCAAATAATGTAGGAACTAAATATAGAGGAAAGTAAAATTGCTGTGGCCCCTTAGAAAATTAGTCATGTGTAGTAAATATATTTTCAAAACAAAAATTCTTCAACAATAATTTGATTTAGTTTAACATTCACTCCCCAAAGAAGCCAACAAATCCTCTATTCCGAGATCATTTTAAGAAAATATGGGTCCTTGCTTCGAAATTAACGAATTGAGTTACTATCTATAATTTGCCCTAACAGAATAATCAAAAATCAACAGAGAACAAAAAGAAGAAGACTAACAAGCAGTCTCCTCATAATTCCTTGCAGAAAACGATCAAAATAAATCTGGAGTCTCTTTAGAATCCCACAAATAGTAATAAAAATGAAAGAACCAATTAAATTCTTAAAATTATTCACTCACTGGACCAAAACGAGTATAAAAATTCTGCGTTCCGGTCGAAAACCCCTCAAAACAATTAATAAAAACCAAAGGAAATAAATTTCACCAAAATTATAAACTTTTCCGGGCATAGAATTGGGAAAAAAAAGCAGAAAAAATTTACCTTTTCAATTTCATCTTGTATTTCTTGGAGCTTTTCAATGGAAAGAACAAGCTCTCCATCAATATGCTCTATCCCATTGTTTTCTTCCTTTACTTCTCCCAATTTCTGCTTCTTTCCTTTGTCCAATCCCATTTTCAGAATTTTCTGTAGGGTTCTGATCTTTTCAGAGTTTTCTTAAACCCTATATAAAACCCTCGTCGTGTATATGATAGTTTATAATAATTATTGGTAAGAGAGAGAGCGAGAAAAAAAAAAAAAAAAAAGGGAAATTAAATTCTTAAAATTATTCACTTACTGGACCAAAACGAGTATAAAAATTCTGCGTTCCGGTCGAAAACCCCTCAAAACAATTAATAAAAACTAAAGGAAATAAATTTCACCAAAATTATAAACTTTTCCGGGCATAGAATTGGGAAAAAAAAGCAGGAAAAATTTACCTTTTCAATTTCATCTTGTATTTCTTGGAGCTTTTCAATGGAAAGAACAAGCTCTCCATCAATATGCTCTATCCCATTGTTTTCTTCCTTCACTTCTCCCAATTTCTGCTTCTTTCCTTTGTCCAATCCCATTTTCAGAATTTCCTGTAGGGTTCTGTTCTTTTCAGAGTTTTCTTAAACCCTATATAAAACCCTCGTCGTGTATATGATAGTTTATAATAATTATTGGTGAGAGAGAGAGAGAGAGAGCAAGAAAAAAAAAAGGGAAAGAAAGCAAAAAACAGAGAGGATAATTAGCATATAACGTCCTCACATTTTACCGTTATCGTGAAAAACGTCTTTAATTTTTATGTTTTGACATTTTCACCCTTATTTTCATATTTCATTGCGCAAAATATCTTTTTTTTATCAATTTTCTCAATTAAAAATTATGAAATGATGAATATACCATTCCATTTAAATAAAACAAAAGGAAAAAGAAAAAATAATTGTAAATATAGTCCCAAAATTTTTTGAAAAGTGCAAATAAGTTTCAAATAAATTATTAAAATGATAATTAACAATAATGTCCCTATCTTTCACTATTATCTATTTTCTCAATTAAAAATTATGAAACGACGAATATACCATTCCTTTTAAATAAAACAAAAGGAAAAAAAATAATTGTAAATATAGTCCCAAATTTTTTCGAAAAACGCAAATGAGTTCCAAATAAATTATTAAAAGGGTAATTAACAATAATGTCCATACCTTTCACTATTATTGCAAAAAAGTGTCTACATTTTTTTAAACATTTTCACCCTTAATTATACATTTGATAGTACAAACCATTTCTATAAATTTTCATCTATTTTCTTAATAAAAAGATGAGAAATGACGAATATACCCGCATATTTAAATAAAAAGTTAAAGAATTAATTGCAATCATAATCCCAATTTTTTTAAAATGTGCAAACGAGTCACAATTAAATTTATTCAAAAACTACAAAAAAAAATATTAAAAAAAGTTCAAACAATTCCCAAATAAATTATTAAGAAATTGGAAATTAAAAAAAAATATTTCTTATTTAAATATGAATGTATATTCATTATTTCACAATTATTTATTGAAAAATTGGATGAAAATGATGGTTTGCACAATCAAATATGTAATAAAGGGTGAAAATAAAAAAAAAAAAAAA